ATGATCTGCATATGTACACATACTAAGAAATTCTCAAGGTTTTTCATGGACAAATGTAGATTAGAAAAAGTTATGAAAAGACTCAAATGTTAATAAATTAATTAACTATAAAGTTAGATTCAAAGTTAGACTTAACAAAATTAATCCAGCAAATAAATTAGAAATCACAATATTTTTTATTTTTTCAGTAAGCAAACTATACAAACATGAGACCTATATAATTTACTAACAATTGGTGGTTATACTAGAAAGATAAAGATAAAACCGTGCAGACTAACTGATCAGATGCATGCTTGGAAAATGGGAGATTAGCCATGGCAAGCTGTTATAAAGATAATTTGTTGTTCCCTAATTGGGCTTGTAAACAATACTTCTTTTTCCTGTTAATTTAGTGATAATGACTTAAAATATGGTGTCACCTGACACACAAGTTACACCTGCAGCACTATTATGATGTTAGTTGTGATAAGCATAAAAATTGAATTATAGTCTGATTTACTTGAGCAATGCTCATAGAAGAATCCTTTCTCTGCTGTTTGTTAACAGTTTCCCTACAGTTACCCTTTACTGCACATGTCACAATCGTTTTACAGAGTTATGTTCAAAACTTAAATAAACTGCTTTATTATCAATTTACACGTAAAATGCTTCCACCTCAGGTACCCCTTTAAATACTTTTGTGCAAGTCACTGACTTACATTCAAAATGTAATTAAGCACCTTTACTATCAATGTATGTGAATGAAATTAACATTATAATGTATGTTATGATTTGAAGTTTTATTTTATATAAGTTTTAATTCCTTTATTTCAAAAGAAACCTTAAAAAAATACTTGAAACATTAAGTTTTGTTGTCATGTGACCCACGAGCTAGGAAAAATCTCAACTTTTGCATTCTCAATTTTGTTTAAGATAACATCAGTTATGAAGATGTATGTCTAGACAATAAGGACATTTAATTGCCCTATTGAAACATAAATTTCAAAGTTCTCTAGCTTAATGGAGTAGAAACAAGTAATAAATTTTGTCAGTCCCAACCATGCCCACCATCTATACTTTTGCATGAGCTTTGTAACATACATGTGGTTGCTACATATACATATATATAGTCATTAGAAACAGTTCATTCTACACTATATTCAAACGGAGTTTATTTTGAAATTAGTGTGTGGTTGTCATAATCTGTTAAATGGAACTGCCTGCAGTATTGTTGGCTGCTTTGTCCATGGTAGCACTTACAGTTTTCTGAACTAAATATGTTATATTTAGAAAGACAGTTAAATTTCATTTAGATCTCACTTTCATATCTTAGTTAATTATGCATTATTTATGTTTTAAAATGCATAATTGAAAGATTTAAACATTTTTTTAAATATACATCATACTTTGTGTCAGTTCTCAAGGCTTAAGATCATGCACGAGGGTAAGATAATTTTGCTGAATGCTTGTGCATCTCTGCTGAAGACACTGTAATTAAGCCCTGCAGGCACCGTTGACTTGTGCCAAGATGAGTAATAAAAGGTAAAGGACAGGAAAGGTAAATAAAACAGTAAAAACTAAGTGTGAAAAGGAAGAGACCTGAAATTATGAATATAACCAAAAGATATTTTAAGATATTCTATGAAAATTTAAAAGGTATGCATCATAACAGTAGCAAATATACTAATTGATATTAGTACTTACACATGATATATACAAAAGACTTGTAATGTTTACTGATAGTCTGTGCAATTTCATCAAGATACACAAAAAATGTTAAAAGTTATAGTATGGTTACATATTAGGTGCAGTAACCTAGCCTGTATGTAATAAGTTAATGGGCCAATTTTTGATATATAAAATGTAAGTAAAATAAAAGTACAACTTTTTATTTCTGTAAAGAAATTGTTGAACAGTTTCAAAATTGGCCTAAATTAGGTCCTGACTAAATTTTCAGTTTTATGAAAGAGAAGATAATACATAAAAATAAACTTTATTATGGATCAAAACAGGAAATGCTTTACCACAAATGGTAAAGTAGATCTTTAATCTTGCAACATTGTAAACATATAGATCATATTTTTACATATGGTTTTGTGTTAACTATAGAATATTCATTAGATCTCATAGTTTCTTGGTTTGTTTTGTTAAAAGTAGCAAATGTAAAGTGTTGGATTAACCATTGTGTGGGCCATATTATGAAAGGTCATCTTTTTTGTTCAGGTGTTGGCTTAAATTTTAAAATTGCATTTTAATCTCTTAGTCTCTCATGATTTCCCAAAACTGCAAGATGTGGATTTGAGGCATTTAATTAATGATTAAGATCACCAGATGGGGCAAGTGCATCAATATTAGTTTCTTTTATAACTTGCAGTGAACGAATTTGAATACATCTATTGGTTGTTAAGTAGCAAAAATGGGCATGGCTTAGTAGTCGTAGGTCAAGATGTCCAACTAATGCATTAATCAGATAGTGAAATTATTAGTTTTTTGCCAATTAGAGAATGTATACTCAGTAACTAGGCCTACAATCAAGGAAAGACAAAGGCAGTAATGCTTCTTCAGAATGACAGTGGTCGATATTGTCCAACCACAATTGTGTTTTATTTAATAGCATCATCATTACTATTGATTTAGTTACAATAGTCTTTTAGAAAGTTATTTGTGATAATATTTGTTACAACAAAATGTCAATAATGGCAGAGTCTGAAAGTGGAATTATTAGTTTTTTGCCAATTAGAGAATGTATATTCAGTAACTACGCCTGCAACCAAGGAAAGACAAAGGCTGTAATACTTCTTCAAAATGACAGTGGTTGATATTATCCAACACAATTGTGTTTTATTTAATAGCATCATCATTACTATTGATTTAGTTACAATAGTCTTATAGAAAATGTCAATAATGGCAGAATGTTTCACTTGTTATATATTGAACATTTTAGAATCATTCCTGGCTTCAAGAATTTTTATAACTTGACTCTTAAATTCATTTCTGTGTATGTATATTTGAGTAGATTTTGTGTGAATACATTTATTTCCCAATTTCTTTTCATAAAACATGGGTGTTAGTAAATTATTTATCAAATGTTTGAATAACAAAATGTATAAGTAAAATGTAGAGTCTTAAGATATTACACAATATTACCTTTAACTGCAGTATCTGAAATAGCTCGGACAGTTTTCAATCTAATATCTACCCTTATTGCTTTTCTTGTGAATATAGTTTGTTGAACATGCCTATCTCAAACAACACATTTTAGTTAAAATTTTCTTTTACGTTTTATAAAGCCACAATGTGATATTCAGATTGAAGTATTTGTAAATATTGATAATTAATAATTTCAATTTTCCATAACTAGTAGAATAAATATCTGATATATTGAAGTTGTTTTTCCTAAATTCACTGATAGTTTTTCTGGTTATATATGCTAGTGACTGCTTGTAGTCTGGTGATGGAGAGTATTTTACAGGTATTATTCTATCTGTAGGTGTGATATGCGTGACCTGAAGCTAAGGTAGTTTACTGTATTGTGGAAATTGTGGAAGGTAATCTGTTAATTACCACCAATATATTTAACATCACTAATGAAAACCTTGAAGATCAGTTCCTCCCATTTTTAATAATTAGAGCACATAGAAGCACTGTATGTTAAACACCAATCTACATTATTTGCTAACATAAAATGAAAGCCATAGTTACATCAGGTTGCACATAGACCCTTCTTATTCCAGAATTGAGAGTAGAGTTTTTCAAAACTTGTATATATATATATATACATACACACACACACACACACAATTCTATACATTCATACTATTAGATTCGTCTCATAAAATCATATCATGGAACAAAATTTATGACTCAAAAACAGCAAAACAATGAGTTTTACAAATTCTTGCTGATTATGGCGATCATTCTTCCCAGTTTCAGTTGTTCATCTTTTCAAATGTTCAGAAATAGAAGATGCAGATAAATTATTTGAAATTGTATGTTAAGTAATTTGGAACATTAATTTGTTTTTAACAGACACAAATAATGATAAAAATGAGATATTACTCTTTTTCCACCCATCAGTTAATCAGCACTAAGTCTATGGGCTTACAGTGCTAAAAACAGGATCTTGATACCTGTGGTGGACAGAGTGCAGATAGCTCATTGTATGGCTTTGCTCTCAAAATAAATACTCGTATACCTTTTTTTCATTTAAATATGGTGGGTTGGTGAACATTATAAATTTCTATTGAGAACAGAACAATGGGTGTATGTTTTTTTATAGCAGAGCCATATCAGGCTATCTGCTGTGTCCACTGAGGGGAATCGAATCCATGATTTTAGCATAGTAAATCCATAGACTTACCGCTGTCCCACGAGGGGAAAACCAGAACAAACCATCTTCTTGTGTTTGTATATATATAATATATATACATACACACAAACACACATTTTTTCTGTTATGAATCAAATTCAAAATAAAACTAGTATAAATGCTGATATGTAATAATCCAATAATGTGATTACATATTTGGCTTCATTGTTCTGATGTTATGACAATTAAATAGCCTGACTTTGCCAAAACATTCTTTACAAGGGGAAAACCAGAACAAACCATCTTCTCGTGTTTGTATATATATACATACACACAAACACACATTTTTTCTGTTATTAATCAAATTCAAAATAAAACTAGTATAAATGCTGATATGTAATAATCCAATAATGTGATTATATATTTGGCTTCATTGTTCTGATGTTATGACAATTAAATAGCCTGACTTTGCCAAAACATTCTTTACTGGTGTTTAGAGTGATTCCCATCGTACTAAGCTACACAATAAACTGACACCTAACTACCACCACTTCACTATGTGGAAACTGTTACAAAACCTGCATCGTCCTCACATCAAAGAAAATACCTACTGTTGAGAAATCAGTTTTGAGAACACCAACTAACTACAGTTTGACCAACCAAACCTTCTTAATGGGGTATAAATAGAGGTCATTTGCTTTCTATTTATTAGTGAAGCTATACTGAAAAAAACTCAAGATTTTCCAAGCAGGAAGAAAAAGAACTACCTTCGTGGATGGCATTTGAAGAAAAATCCTATTTTGATATGTGAGTATTAGAATAATAATATATTGGTGAACAACAATTTATAAGCATAATAAAGTGATATATTTTTGGGGGGGGGGGGGACATACTAAATATTTCAACAGAACATTCTGTTGAAACATGTATGTTCTCTCCCAAAATATATTGCTTTATTATGCTTATAAATCGTTGTTTGTCAACTTATTATATTAGCATAATGTGCCTCTTTACTTGAGTATTAAAATAAACCTACAGTATTGTAATATATTTTGTAACTGAGTTCCAAGATTAATTATAGTTTTGTGAGATACAATAATGTCATGCAAGTTCTACACTTCTGATTATATACATATAATTTTTGTATTTTCTGTGGACAATTACAGCATCTTGTGATGAGTTACAAATGTATGCAGAAGTTTCTTATAATACCTGTCTTCCTGATATTCAATGCTGTCTCTATGGTGATGATGTACCACTGGAAGTTGAGTCTTATCCATGGAATCTTGCTAATGATATAGGACTAATCAGTATTGAAGTTGATGAATTGTTTATATCCGGCATTATATTGTGGAAATCATAGACCTTGATTTTCATAAGTAAGCACACTTTACATGACATTTTTACAGTAAAATGATATATTTGATCTTTTAATTTTTGATTAGTATTTGTAATATTAAAGTATTTACAACCTTCTTGCTTACAGGTACAGGTGCAATAAGGGTATTGATGGCCAGTTTCGGTTTGTAAGAGAAGAATGAGCAGGGCTATCAAGCGTCCTATATTTCATCTGTGAACTTTGCCATATAGTGAAGCTGATAAGTACAGATGTAGAGACTGATCAATAAACCTAGTGTTGAACATGTAGGAAAGATTCACCTAGATCAGGAGCTCCCAAACTTTGTCAACTGGTGGACCCCTTCAACTTCTTTAATTTATTGGCAGACCACCTCCTGTTAAAAATAGTTTTTATCATGTGTATGCATATGCATATTTTACTACCTTTAAAGCTTGATTCTAGTTTTAAAAAAAGAACAATGAAAAGTATAGAAAATTAAAAACAAATCTTATTACTTACTTTAATGTGAAGGATGATACTGCTTTGGTGGAACAATCTTGCGAATTTCTGTGTCAATGTTTGACAGTTTCAAACAGAGATCCGGCTCCACATTTATCTTATTTCTATTCTTCAATTTTATAGAAGCAAGTTGACAGAAACCTCGCTCACATAATTAGGTTGTAGGAAATGGCATTAAATATTTTACTGCTTTGAATGACAGTTCAGGATAATCACATCTCACATGTAACCAAAAGTCTGTCAAGTTAGTTTGGCCAAAAAATGACTAGTGAAGCGTCACATGAGAGATCAGTAAGGTTATTTTCTTCAACTGCAGTTAAATTTTAAGCACATAAAAGGTCCACATTAAATGAATCTCTGATCCACTTATTATTGGAATCATGAGGAGGAAAGTAGATTCTAAAATATATTTTCAAATTATGCAAATGATGAATAATAATGTTTAGCACCTCATTGGAAAGTTTTTTTTTCTCAGATTCTTCAAAAAAACATTGAGTGTTGGTAATGACTTATAATTACCGTTTTGAATATGATGTGCCCATAAATCAAGATTCTATTTTCTCTTCAACTTTAAGTTTAGTTACAGCTACCCCTTGAAGGCTTAAATTTAGTCCATTCGTATGAGTAAATATGTCAGATAAATAGGCCACAACAGTCAGCCAAGAAAATTCATTGAAGAGCTCGCTCAAGTGGAACTTTTTCTCACTTAGAAATAAGCATATTTCATCATGCAGCTCAAACACACGAATGCAAGAGAAGATGTTTATGCTCACTACCCATCTGTATGCAGGAATTTAGTGGGCAAGCTTTTATAAAATTGACAATTTGTACTGCTTCGTACATTGTTGTCTTTAGTTTTTCATCCATTCTTCTTGCAGCCAATGCTTATCTGTGTATACAATGAGTCCACGTAACTGCAGGCACCACAGTCTTTTGACACATGCAATGAATCCACTGTTCTTACCTCACATTGTACGAGCTCCGTCTGAACTTATTCCTACACATTTTGACCATTTAGTTTCATTTGTTGCTAAAAGGTGTTCAGACTGTTAAATATAGCCTCAGATGTAGCATTGGTTGGCAAAGAGTGGCAAAATAAGAGATCTTCATAAATTTTCCATCAAACTTGTACCATATGAATGCAAGTAATTAAGCATGATTAGCAACGTCTGTACTTTCATACAACTGCAGAGAGTAATACAGGCTTTGGCATACTCTTGTAATTAAGTGACTTTTAACATTCTCTGCCATTTCCTCAATTCTTCTTTTAACAGTGTTGTTTGATAGTGAAATCAAATTTAGGTCTTTTGCTGCCTTTATTTCCATTCATTGCACTTGACATTACTTTTGCAGCTGGTAAAAGTAGTTCCTCTCCAATAGTATGTGGTCTTCCAGTCTTTGCTATCAAAAGAGATACCTCATATGAAACAAATGTAACTTTTTCATTATTGTAACCAGTTGCTATTTTTTCTAATAACGTTTGTTTTCTATGCATTTCACATTCTTTAATTTGAAAATATTCAAAAGATGTGCCACTATATTCATTATGTTTTGTTTGAAGATGCCTGTGAAGCTTGGATGGTTTCATGCTTTCTTTAGATAATACATCATAACTCACTGAGGCTTTTGATCATTTTCTAACACAGTGCAAGTAAACCCAAATGCTAAATATTCATTACAATATTTACACCTTTTCTGTTTTGATTCATGCTCCAAAGTTCCAACATTTGAGCCTGATGCAATAGGGCTACCACTTGTGTCACTAGCCTTGTCACTACATTAGCGGTTTGTCATTATGCTAAGTTTAAGCCACTGATCCATAATTTTATGAGTAACTTAAAAAATGTCATAAAATTCTTGAAACAAGTTATAACTCACTATTACTGACACCAGTAGTAACCATGTAATTATTGTAATAAATGGAAATCAACTGTCTTGTTTTTTGCAATCGGCAGGCAACAGTGCCAGGCCCCCAACGAATTTACATAATTAAATTTATGTTAATTAGAATTATTAATTTGGGATTTATATATGTATTACTATATTAGTTTTATAATGTCTTCGCATTTTATTTTATTCGTTATTCTTTCATAAAATGGCAACTTCATAAATTTGATGTATTACTGCAGACCCCCTTAAGTACTATTGCAGTTTCTCAGGGGGCTGTAGACCACAGTTTGGGAATCTCTGACCTAGATATCAACAATACTGCTGTCTGGAGCATCATTAGTACTAGAGGTGGTTATTCACAACTAGAAGAAATGATGTCATTGCTTAGTGTCCCAGTTATGTGTTCTCAGATGTATTTCAAGAGTGGAGAAAAAATAAGAAAGGTAAATTGCATTTAAATTGTTTCTGTGTTTCTCTTATTATTGAAACTGTTACTTGTACCCCGCATATTTACTGTAAAGGTGTTTATACGTTGTATGGTTCAGTTAGCCGTGCATTGTTTAAAACCTTTCTAATAAATGAAAAGCACATTAGTTTATTTTGTTCTTTATAATGTTCAACATATAATGGCATATGTTAATTGAACAATATAGAAATTTTGGTATAAAACAAAATTTCCATTCAGTTGTCTGATGTTCCCCTAAATGTTTGTTAAAAATTCCATGTTTATAACTGCATAACCTAAAAATACCCAGTATTTATTGCACATAAGTGATATATTACCTACTCTACAGATCCTGTGGGCATTGCTATAGTGCAAAATCAGGATGTGAAGTCATCACTGGCCAACATACTGGAAAGATTATGTACCTAGGTATTAGCAACAAGTTTTGCAGTGTGTGTGTGTGTGTTCAGTCTATCCACGGTGAAACAAATAACATAAATGCTGGAGGAACTGGAATGGAGTGAGAAATAATCATTAAGGGCTTTTGATGTAGTGAGCACACATATGGAGTGAGATACTGAAAAGTAATAGGAAACAAAGACTTGTATGTCTATAAATCCGTCCTACAAAAATGCCCTTATTGAGGAAGAATCGAAAAACTGGAATGTACAAAACATGCTCTCAAGTGCTACTCAAAGTTGTTATTTGAGTTGGCAAAGGAAACACAGAAAGTTATAATTATCATACCAAAAATAGAATCATGAAAATATACAAATGTGCTAAAGCAACAATCACACAGAATAAAAAATTGAGGGTTCAGTGAAAGAACTGGGAGAACAACTACTGAATGCCTCATGACATGTTTTTAGTGACCACTAGAAGTGTAGTATAGCATATTGCCAAAGAACTGGTGAAAAAAAATGACTGTAAAACTACCAAAACCATTATTGTCAAAAATAATGGATGCTGTTATCTACTTGGTACGGAAAACCAATAGACTGGTAACTGATGCAACTACAAACAGGGCATATATATATGCATCTTGTTTGTAACTTTATTGGAGAGAAGAACTTCAACAGATCTCAAAGCAGTTTATATATTAGCATTGAATGTCAAGGTGCAAGTCTGTCTTACTATCATGGAGTGTCATAGCACTCAATGGAGTTTGAAAGATCAATACTTAAAAGCCCATCCATTGTTGTAAAGATATAAATTTCTAAGCTGCAAAAGAAAAGAGTTGCATGCAGAAGAAACGTGATGTTAGCCATAACAAAACAGAATTGTGCCAAGTCTAGAAAGGAACAATTCCAACCTCTGGGAGATTCTAACTATGGTCCCCAAGCTCAACAGCTGGATATGTGTAAAGAAATGCTGAACAGCAGGGAAGATGAAATTATTAAAGAACTACACTTACCTGATAGTGAAATATCACACCTAGAGAAAAGAACACGAAAACAAGCTGAAAGTTTTGAGTGAAAAGAAGACCGATGTAAACATTTTACTATCTAACTCCGGAGCGATATGCAACCACATCATGCAGTGCAACAGGGAAAAGGCTTTTATATCCAAATAATTTCTTTTCAGAAGCTACAGAATATGGCCATAATTATGAATCCATAGCCAAACGGGAATATATTGAAAACACAGGAAATAGCATTATTTCACGTGGGCTCATTGTAGATAAAGACTGTAGATTTTTGGGAGAATTTAATTAAATGTCTGAAAAAAAGCAGAGAAGTTAACTTCACTTGAAGCAGCAAGATCTTTTACTCATTTTTCTTGCACAGCAACAACAGATGGACTGCTAAATTTAAAAAACAACACAATTATTATTACCAGATTCAAATTTAAACTGAAACTACTGCAACTTTGTAATATGGACTCCAAAAGGTATGATTATTGAATGGATCCAGAAAGATGATAATTTTGGGGGAAAATGTTTCCAAACTCTAACAATTTTATACGAACTGTCTACTGCCAGAAATGATTGATCCAAGACTGCCTAGAAACTTGAAAATTTGTGATCCAGATTACTTCAGTACTGTAAAAGCTAGAAAGCCCCCCAGTGGCACAGTGGTATGTCTGCGGACTTACAACGCTAGAAGCCGGGTTTCGATACCTTTGGTGGGCAGAGCACAGATAGCCCATTGTGTAGCTTTGTGTTTAATTCCAAACAAACAAACAAAAAGCTAAAAAGAGAAAAAAATAGTAGAAAGTACATAAAGACAGCTATTAAATGGAGTTTAAAATCTCTATTTATATTAAATTGTAAATTATTCTAAAATATTAAAATCTTTGCTTGCTGGGAAACTGTTCATTATATTGTTTTTTATTTGTATTAGAAATTCTGACCGTAAAGAAGGCAGGTACAATCAGACACAAAACAACTGTATTTTGTAACTTATTGTTTACTGTATTGCTGAAAATGTTGTTTCTGTCATGATTAGTAAAAAAGTATTATGATTTGATTATAAATAAGTTTGTGATTTCTTTATTTTGATATATGTAGAAATAACAAAGAAAAAGTGATATGTAATGTAGGGAAGGCTATGTAGCTGTTTTGTTTTTACTCACTGGTTATTGCAAAAAAAAAGTAGTTAGTCAGGCAATCTGGTAAATAAGCATAAGCAAAATGACTGAGAATAAAGATTTTGTTTTATTTATTCACTTATTTTGTTTATTTTGTTCCTTTACTGTTGTTAATAAAAACTTTGTGGATATTAAAATTTAGACATCTGATTGATATCAATGGACCAGAATAACACAACAGTACTGAACTCACCTCTTGAGTTATACACAAATAAAATGCAACATTTGTTATAGTTGATTACTAAATTATAAATGGGTGATTAGGTATTGGCTAAAGTATTATATTTCTTCTTCTGATCAGCATTGGGTGATTAGGTATTGGAAAAAGTATTATATTTCTACTTCTGGTTTTTGGAAATGAGTAAATTAATATGGATTCTTCAAATTCATTATTTAGGGACAATATATAATAATTCATAAATATGAAATGTGGATAAGGATTAATTTACAGCAAGGATTATTTAATGTGATTAAATTTTGACAAGATTTTTCTTAGCTGTTTGCTTTAGTTGATTATACTGAACAGAAAAGACATGAGAAGGGTCTTTGCTTATTGAGAGGGAAGTGTGGTTTATTGAAGGGGTGGTAATGCATGAAAAAAGACAAAACAATGACAACATATATTAAATTCTGATTAATAGTTAACCTACAGGATCACATACAAGAGATGTAATTTTTTTCAAACGAGACCCAAAACTCAATATATGTATTTTGGAAATCATTTTCATGCATAGCATAACAAATATTTTGCAGGCTTATAACTATATAGCTGTACATTTTGGTCTATTATCATTACTGATATTTTTCATTCTGTTTTTGCAGCATATGAATGTCTTAGAATATTTTAGTCAGTTTGATGACATGTTAATGGTCAAGTTTATTGCCTAAAAGGATGAGATGCTAAGAATTGTATCTATTGCCATCTCTTGCTTGAAATAAGATGTACTGGTTTACACTTGATAACATTTTTTGTCATTGTGTATTTAATACCATCTTCTGGAAAAAGTAGCAACTACTTTCCCATTATAACACTTTTTCAGATAAACAATGTTTTGTTTCAGATTTTTTTATTTGATGACACATTTGAATTTGACTATATTTTTGTTTACTTTTTGATGATCATTCAATTAATGATTTAAATGTCAATTTTTCCAAGTAAATTTTATTTTAGTTACTGTGTTCAGATATACATTTATTTCTTATTAATTCTGTAAAAAAAAATCTATTCCAATACAAAAAGTTCTTCACTGTACTATTATTTTCTTTTTAAATAATTATATTAAAAACATATATATCCTTAAAGAAAAGGAAACAACAATAGGTTTAACCTGTGCAACAAGATTTGAATTTTTGACTTTACAAAAACAAATTTTATTATTGTACACTGGAATTTTTTTAGGTAATGTACTTGTTCAAACATAATATAGATCCTCAGTTACACAGTCATTATTTTATTTCTGTTGTGCATATTGGTGTATAGAAGACATATTAATACAAGAAATAAATGACCGTACAACACCAAAATGTTGTTTTTATTTAATTAGACACTCAATGCTTTGCTTTACAGCTTCTTCTGGAGTGTTCACTGAAACAAAAACAAGTACAAAGCTTCAAATGGTTTAAATCATAAATTATATTCGAATCTATAACATGCATTTGTATAGTGTGCTTTTGACATATTAAGTAGTAAAGCTTATTGTTGAAAGAAAAGTATTGTTGAAATAATTAACTATTACCTGTAGTAAAAAAAGTTCTATCAAGGTTACAGAGTGAAATAACAAAAAGATAGGATAAAAAATAATATAATTAAAATTATAGGAACCACCCTTTGTAACAATTCATCTGTGGTCATAGTTGTTTGATAAGAAGAGTTTCTTTGAATTTGCTGTCTGTGTACTTGGTGGCTTTGGTGGGAATTTGTATGGAGAATGGTGGTATCAACAATACTCTTTACATTGGATGTCCTGGCTCTCTGCCCATCTATACAAACAGAGGATAGTGTTAATGCAGTGTGTGAATTCACGTCAAATCACATAAACAATTTGGAGATGTACAGGCGTACAATAGCTATCCCATGACTTGTGAGAAAATGGATGATGTTATATTTTACTTTACTTATCATGAAAAGAAAAGGATACACTTAAGAGAATTTCCATTTAAATTTCTTAAATATAGAATGCTAATAGGGCTTCTTTACAAATTTAGTGCATCTTAACTTTGTTTCTATTCTGTATAAGACATTTTCCTTTTTTGACTTCTGAAATGATATGTTATGTATTATTATGTTCACAATGTTTCATTGTGTTTTTCTAAGAAATAAAGAGAATACGAGGTTTCACACTCAATTTTACTTTTTTTACTATATTTCCAGGAAATTTTTGCAAACATTGTGTTTTTCAAAAATATCGTGGAAATTTTCCTAGTAATATTATCAATCTAGAATGATGCACTTGATGAAAGCTTCTGAAGATGAAACTTATTTCATGAAAACTCCCAGTACTTATCCCATGATTTGTTATGAGAATACCAATAATGTGCTATTTTTCTCTTCGTCTCAAGAAAGAAAGGGATGCAGGAATAGGAATTTTCTTTTAAAATTCTGTATTATGGAAGGTTATTAGGGCTTCCTTACAAATTTGGAACAATATGTTATGCGTTATTAAACTCGCAATGATAAGTTCTTGTATTCTTCTAATGAATGACACCATAAGTGTTAAAAATAGTGTTTCATTTCAATTAATAAAAGTGATACTAAGTTAGGAATGTTTTTTAAGTGAAAAGGTAAAAATATTGTTGAGGATGTTTTTAAACAAATCAACTCTGATGATATGCTTAAAGTTAATAAACCTGGCTTATAAAACTATTGCTATCAAATATTAGCATATACAATTACTAGTTTTCAGGATTTTTAGTGCATTTTCTCAAACATGTGTTGGTCAATAACTGAAATCTAAAGATCATTTGGACTTTTCCCATTAAATGTATAATTCAAAATTTTATAATAATGTTAACCCTCTCAAGTCAAAAGCCATGTTATCGTGTTTGTTGACTCACATTCAAAATGTTATTGAACTACTATTTCATGAATTTATGTCAGTATGTTTGATAGTAAACTGTAGGTTATAATTCAAATTTTAGTATTATACATTATTTAATTTCTTAATTTAAAAGTAAATATTAAAAAGCACAGTTAAACATAGATTTTTGCGTGTTATGTGGTATGTTGAATGCAGCACTGGTTCACATTAGTTGTTTGATGTCAAAGTACCAAGTTTATGGTTTTGTACAAATTACTGATACTGATGAGTTAAAACATAAAATAAGAACCTCATACTTTTTCTATTTGCTAAGATATCGATCATGTAGTAAATCAAACACAGTGGCCCCACTCAACTATTTCCATTTTTGGAAATGGTCCCTTATATACACTTACTTCAATATATGACGTGAATAACCAATCAAAAGCCCATTTTAGAGTCTTAAGATGCCATCTCTTTCTTTCAAACCAAGATTTCAAGGAGGTAAGTTGTGTCTTTAGTCTGCTAGAAATTTCATATTTTTTTTAGACCCAAGTACTGCTTAGTTACTAAGCTTGATAAATTATAGTGGAAGTTTGTTGTATCGTTGTAGTAATTTATGATTTTTTGTATATTCAACTGTATTTATAAGGCTTAGCAACCTACATCAAGCAGCAACCGAGTACAAATGTCGTAACAAGAAGAGATATTTGTTTGCTTTATTTACTGTTCTATGTTTTTGGAAAAACAAGTTTAAGAACTTATTTCTAAATAGTAAAAATCTATATACATATATAATGTATAATAATCAAAAGTGGCTGTATTTTACAAAATACTAGTCTTCTAAAACACAGCCAAGACAGGTCACTTTGTAAAGACTAAAGGTCAGTATTATATTATTGGATATGGTAACATTAATGCATGTGTGCCGCATCATCGTAACATCTATATTGTTAGCCAAGCCCGGCTGAAAGGTCAATATAATATAAATATATAATGTTATGAGATTTAAGCTATTTAGTCTAAACATTTATGTTTTCATGTTATAATTTGTTGTCATTCTAGAATGAAAGAGGCATTATTTATATTCCTAATTTTTTATGGTTGTAGCGAGATTGGTCAAATCTACAAACCCGTACAAAGATTTGTTAGTGAAAATAACAGATAAAATATAAAGTTTTTTTCTTAAAAAAGTTTGATAACTATTTGGACATTATAAAGATTTTGCATGTGAAATTTTAAGATTTTCTGATGCATAAAAGTATTTTTAATATTAAAATGAAAATTACTTTGCATGCTAGATAGGCAACATGCAAAAAGAAAAAAGACATGAGAAAAACATTGCTTAACAAACCTTAATAAAAGACTTAATAAAAGAAATTATATTTTGTCTATGAAAGCATTGTAATATTTACTAATAATCTGCCAAATTTCGTTAACATATGCTTGCTAATTTAAAAGTTATACATGAAAACTATAACAAGCACAAAATAGTTATGAGGTTGGTCCCAGGGACTGAGCCTGTGCTGAAAGAGTTAATGGAGCACTTAAATGCTGAGTCTTTGTCAACTAGTATTTCTTTCTAAGTAACAATTTAAGTTGATTTTTTTTTCTCTTGCTTGTGGTAAAGGGTTTAATTTAACAATGTGTGGATAATCATGTTGCTTTGTACAATTAAACCCCAAAAACTAATTTAACAAAATACATTTTCTAAGTCAATATGCTTTGCTGTTAAAGAATCACATTTTATGTTTAATGGAAATATCTGTAATGACCCTGAAGAATATAATTGAATGGAATCTTAACTTGCTAGTTTTTCTTAAAATGTTATGCTTTAACAAAATAAATTTTGCTTCCCTTTAATATACTCTACTAAGAAAGCATGTTAACATTACATTTGTTATTTTTCAGTTACAAGCACCTTTGACACAATTTTTGTAACATCTGGACATCAAACATTCAAAATATTTTACTGTAAAATGTGAAAATTGTTTAAGGTTGCAAATGTAAATTATGATGTAGCTATAAAGTGAATTTTATCACAAACCTATGTTTCTTGGATGGAATTCTCATTTCAATCTTTTAAAAAATGAATTTGTTAAAAGTTTGTGGTTAATTGGACTTGAAGAATTGTATCTATTCTTCATCATATGAAGAAATAGTAAGGATTACAAAATTTAAAAATTGGATGAAATAGCTACTGTATTATAATAATATAGTTTGCAAATGTTTAAGTAAAGATGTAAACCATTATATTTTGCAGCTTACTGCTCCATACAACAGTTGTTGTGCTAATAAACAAAAGATTGATTACTTTTTTCAGGTTTGTTATGCTTTCATGTCCAAATAATATGGTTCATGTACAACTTTTTAAAGAAAAATGGATATTTCTTTATTTAAAAATGTAGCTTGCAAAGGTGAGCATGCATTGCTTGTATATATTTTTCAAGTTCTTGCTGCACAAATGAATGTATGGAATTCATCATCTGATGAAATTGCACTATACCAATAAATCTGGGAAATGTATTGAGTAAAGCTCCTTACATATCAAACAAATGTAATGATGAAATTGAAGTTGGTGAGCTAAACTGAGAATGAAATGTAATAAAGATTTAGGAGAGTTTTATAACAGTAAGGGTTAATCCTGCTTTTAAGTTAAGAACAGTTATGTAGGTGGTATGTGCTGCTGACTGGTCATCTTCCTTCTGGTGAGCAGCTCTTAATTAGGAATATCTATACCTGAACTTTCAAGATCTCCAGCCTGGCAATTTAGCCCACAAAGGGGATAGAATAACTTAAAAATGACTGAGTTAGTCTTAAAATGTAATTCTGGGAGTCCAATGGATTTGTCAAGATTTGAGTCAGTATTGAGTTCTGTTATGGTTAACTTGAACAAATAATAGTAATTCTACATTCATTTGCTTTTATATAACTTGTTTTTAAAATTAGAGATAAAAAAATACTTCATTTGCAGAAGGAAGAACACTTACCTCTTCAGTGATCATTTCCCTCTCAGAGACTTGTGATTAAAAGCTCTGACAGTTATAGGTAAAATCCACTTGTATAATTAGTGGTGAAGAGGTTAAGTCTTACATAGTTTAATGCTACTGATAAAGTAACACTAAAAATGTTTAATGATTTCTTCCTTTCTTTTTAGTGATGAAGTTAGCAAAGTACTTGAACCTAATGTGGTAATGTTAATTTTTTTCAAAATTTATGGTGAAGTTTTTTTTTTCTGAACAAATAACCAATTTCAACCCAACAACATGTATTCAACATTATTAGACCATATTTGTGTATAGAAAAGAAACTAATATTGTAAAAAATGATTTTGGAAAGAAGTTTTATTATGATAAAACTGCAACTATAATTGAACTCAACTCAATTCAATATGTTAAGGAATTGTCCAAACGTAGAATGACATCAGATTCAAAAGTGCAGTATTGCTTCTCATCTTGAACAAAACAGAATGGAAGTAGAAATAAATATAATTTGATTATTGTTAGGTACCGAGAACATACTTGAAACAAAGAGGCAAAAGTTTTTCCTGGTTATCTGAGTCAATGAAGAATTTGGGAGACCATTTCAGTTGCTGATATATATATAAAACACACAAAATAGTTGTAATATTGTCTAGAGAAGCCTGCAACAATCTAATTTTTAAAATGAGGGTTACGTTTTGGAAAATGATAAAAAAAATTTTACAGGAAGTTAAAGCATTAGCATCTTGCTTCTTTTGAATTTGAAGAACTAGAATTTAATCTCTTGTCAGATTAATTAGTTTGACTTGCTTACTATAAGAAACTAGTTTAACAAGACTGTTTTACAGATGCTGTACATACTTGATAAAGCAGGAAGTACCAGATTTTGTAATTTTCATAACAATTAAATATTGAGTTTCTGTATACGATGGTTTACTTTTTTGTATATATTAAGTTCTGAAGCTCTAAATGAAACATGAACTACAAGTCTTGTTTTTTATAGTGATGTTTAACATAGCAATATGTTTTGATATGCTTGTTTTTTTCTGTAGGGCTACCTTTTGATTGGATATTACTATACTGGAACTCAAGATTATGACATAAAGTGGACTATGCCTCATTGTGTTCTAACATTACGCTTAATTGGTATGTATCAAAACTTAAAACTGTAATTATGCTTATGTGCATCTATCATACATTCTAAAATATTGTTACGTATCTGCTCATTTGTTAATTTCCGGTATAAATTCTTTCCGAGGAACTTCAGTCATACAAGTCCTTTCTTAATTAAAACTAATTTATTCTTTCTTGATACAACTTTTTAGTACACAGAATTTTCACAGTCACTTTAAACTTAAACACACGCTATAATTCACAACGTTTCATGCACTTTATTTACCAGACCTACTGTTTGCTTGACTCAGTTATCTGTCTCTTCACTCTATCTGCCCATCTCACTGTTTTTTTCTCGCCAGGCATATATATTAAAAAGAGGGTGTCTCGAATGCACTCGGGCCTTCATGATTCTTCTAGAAACTCCTTTGGCCTTTGTTGTTCCCAAACGTCATTTTATCAAAATTAACTACACTTCCTCAGTAGTAAGTAGTCCAATCATAGTATGCATGGGTCTTCAATGTCAGCCAAGTATACTTTGTGTCTGTCCTTTATGCCCATGACCTCAATAGTTACCCACACTGGTCACTACCGCTCACTTGATTCAATTATCTGGCTCTATCTCTCTATCTGCAATTCTTCTTCATCACTTCTTGCCGGTCTTATATCTACAAAATAGAGGGCATTGGGCAAACACTTGAGCCTTCATGAACCTTCTATATACTCATTATGTGTTACCAGCGTCACGTGAATTCTGCTGTTGTAACAATATTATCGAAATAAAAAATAACCTAAACTAATGTACATTATTTACAACTTGTAATGGCATGAATAGTAGTTAGACACAGTTCAAAGGGCAATAAAACAATAAAATTTAACTATAAATAGATGTATATTGTTACAAGTTTAAAGCTACTTAAGATAAACAAATATAGTTTCATGTCACTATTTGAAATCATTCTAGGAAGAAAAAAAAAGGGTAATTTTGATTTATTTAAATTTTTTGATCAACCTTGTACAGAGTTAGGGTAGAGAAAATAATAGACAAAAACTTTTACTAAAACAAATGTTTGAAATGTATTTAGGAGGTTTTTAGAGACTACGGAAATGAAATTTGAGATTTTTGAGATGAAGAAAAGTCTTTTTAATCTTAACATGAAAATCACTTTGCACTCGAATTAGTAAAAAATAAATGATTTGATATGTTCACAGAGAAATCTTTAATAAAAATACTTTATTATAAAGTCTGATTTTTTGGTATATAAAAGGGGCTTGTAATGTTTACTGAAAGTCTGCCAAATTTTGTGAAGATGCACGTACTATATTAAAAGTTAGTAGTATTGAAATTATAACAAGTACAAAGTGGTCACGTGTTCAATCAATTTGACTGAGCCCATGTTGAGAGAATTAAGGAGCTTCTGCTGATTGTAATTTGTAGGATCTTCCAAAAGACATTGAATATTTTATTATATAAAATAATATGATCTTAATTTTCTTTTAGGGGTATCATATGATGTTTATGATGGAAGAAAAGAAATGGTAAGTTTTATTGTATATGAATGTGTTTATATATCTATGTATACATACATTTTTATGTAAAATGCAATGGCAATTTACCATAAGTGGAGATTGTGGTAGCATGAACATCATGTTTAGCACCTGTGTGTTTAGTTCACAACAAATGTTTGATCATTTAACAGTGCAATGCAATATCAGTAGACATATGAATGGAAAAATATGCTGCAGCCCCTTCCAAGGTAGGATATTTCTGCAGTGTGATTGTAAAACATTTATGAAAACAACAACCTCTGAATGAAACCACAAAAACCAATACAGAGTAATGTCTTCATCTCCAAAGCAAAAGCTGTAGTTATGAAAGAGAATATTTCAAACCAAAAAGCTATTGCAAAGAACCTGGATGTACTGTATTATACTCGTAACAAGAATATAAATGAGAGCTCAAAATTTTTTAAGGCTTCCAAGTGAAAAATTTATAAGCTTCCAACCACATCTCTATCCACGGACATCTTTTTCTGTATATGTTATGAGTTTTTACTAAATTACATTCAAAATTTAATTAAATTACCTTTTTTCATGGTATACCAATAAATATAGCATAAAAATGTAGCTAATAATTCAAATGTTAATAGTATATAAGTTTTAAGTTTTTAATTTTATAAGGCAACATAAAACAAATCTAGAGTTTCCCCTAGTGTGAGAATTGTGATATTTGCTCTCTTGGCATCCTGTCTTCTCTAATTTGTGTACCACCCCTTCAAGAATTATGAAATTTAACTCAAATTTCTCATTATGATAACTTCATCACTTCGGCAAAGCATAATTTTCATAGCCTTCAATCTTATTTGGTTACAGAACCATGAAATGGACAATCAGACCCTTCTTGCCATGCTGACCAGTCACATCCACTCTTTCATAAATTGCCAATACTTCTCTCTCATGTTCAATACTATATTATCTATAACCAATAAAAAGCCAAGGTTTTCATCTATTCATCTATATTATTTTCTCTAAAGAGAACTGTAAATTTTGCTTTCGGTTTAAGCTTTGATTCCCATGGGAAACACATCAACAAGCTTAGATGAAGTTTTAACAACTCTTGTAGCATAGTTATAGAAAGCTAGAAATATTGTAATAGTTATGGGACACTGTCTACTTTTTGCACATTATTATTCTGTATTCTTTAGTACATTATTTAATCAAATAAAAAATACTTAGTGCAGTACTACCATTGGTATAAAAATGTGGGGTTAAGTGTCGTCAGCAGCAAAAAAAATCCAGATAAGTACTTTTTTTTTGTTTTTCATGTCTGTTCTTTATTTCTTATTATAAAAGTAACTAAAGTATAAAAACAGGAAATTTCATATGTTAGTTAAGGTTAGACTAGGTGAAATAAATAATAATAATAATATAGTAAAAGATTTTTCATGGTGTACACTCATAAGTAGCTCGTGCGTAACATAATTTGATAGCATAACATGAGCTGCATGTTTGCCAAGTGATTTACAACTTATAATGGCATGAATAGTAGTTAGACAGGGTTCAAAGGACAATAAAACAATAACATTTAAGTATAAATAGATGTATATTGTTATGAGTTTAAATTCATTCTAGAAAGAAATAGGGTAATTTAGATTTATTTAAAAATTTTTAGTGGTCATGAGGTTAGTCAAATTGACCAATGTTGTATAGAGTTAGGGTAGAGAAAATACCAGATAAAATATAAAGTTTTACTGAAAAAAAAAACGTTTAAAATGTATGTAGAAGGTTTTATAGATTATGTAAATTAAATTTGAGATTTTTGAGACGAAGAAAAGAATTTTTAATGTTAAAGTGAAAATCACTTTGCACTTAGACTAGGATATAGAAATACTATATATATTGGCAGACAAGTTTTTAGTAAAATACTTCATTAAAAACTGATATTTTGCGTACAAAAGACTTGTAATGTTTACTAAATGTCTGCCACGTTTTGTGAAGATACACAAAGTGTTTTAAAAGGTATAGTAAGGAAATTATAAGGGGTACAAAATGGTTATGAGGCTGGACAAGTCGAACAACCTTGTAGCGAGAGAGTTAAATGTGGTCTTGAAAGACATTGTACATATGTATTGGAAGGCTTATGGAAAGTCTCAAGGAGTAAAACCTTAGATTTGCCTTGCAATTCTCACAAAAGTTCATACAATAGAAGTTGTAGTATTGGGTAATAGTATATAATCATGGAACCTGGGAGCATAATTTTTGTGAAGGGTAATTAATCCTTATTTTAATCCTTGTAATGAGCATGTTTTCAATTCAAATATGATAATATAAGGTGATAAAGATTACTGATTTGGCTGAGACTGTCTCATTTTTTAGATTGTTTTCCCAGTGTCCTTAAAATATTCCTGGAATACCTAAATTTGTCAGTTTTCGTTTTTATCAATAATCTGTACTTTGTATTCATTACTTTGAGTTTCTGACAACTATAAATCAACAGAAAAATTTTTTGGTCTGTGTCGTCAAATTATCACACAGCACAGAATGGCTCAGTGTAGCTTTTACTGCTTCCTCTGAATTTGGCTAGAAGGCAGGCTACAGCTAACAACACTTTGTCACTATTGCATACATCAAGGTGAAACATTCACTGAGCATGTGATTTTGTTCTTCACAAAACAGAGAAACTTGAATGCAAATGGCAGATGCTAATCACAGTGAATGTTCAGTTTTCAAATCATAAAGTATTTATTTAAAGTAATTCAAGGTTCAAAATAATTGACAGTTGTTCATAATTTGATGACAAACTCCTGCCCAATAAGAAACTGCTTGAAAAACTTCACTTGTCAGAGAGGTGTATGTATCAGCAATAATGTAAGTAGAAATATTCTTTTCACTTAATGATATTTCTTATTTATGTAAATGATTGTTTATAATTTTCCCTTAAAAATGGGAAGAGTTTTAGTTTTAAGATCTGAAAATCTGAATGTGTCACCTTAGATAATAAAACTTCAACATGCTTGAATAGAATAACATTTCATCCTTCTCTGCCAACATCAGCAGCAATAGATTTGTCTAGCAACATTCTGAGATCACTGATACTAATGAATAAGTTAGGAATTAGTTCCAAACAACACTTGGTTTCTCACAGCCACTTTGCAACCACACAATCTTGCTTATGGATTGTAATACATATGTAAATTATAATCTTCAACACAGCTACTGCATGTGTATTGAAACCTTCTATCAGGACCACACCACTTGTATGTTAGTGTATAATTAGTAGTACTTTTAAATATCAAAAATACAGGAAGTGCAGTCTTTCAAATGCTTGAGGAAGTATATCAGTGGTAATGTTCTTGAGTAGTAGTAGTAGTTTCGTATGGTGTTTCTCACACCTCCGAATTCTGTTGGGAATTCTGTTGTGATGGGGATTCGAACCTGCGACCCTCAGATTATGAGTCGAGTGCCCTAACCACCTGGCCATGCAGGGCCCATTCTTGAGTAGTAGATTTTATTGAAACACCTTATAGTTTTACTGGAAAAATTATCGGAATTTTTTCTCCCTGAATATTTTTTAAATTAAATATGTTTTTTTTTATTTGACAATATAGTGATATAATGTTGCTTATATCAATGTAGTGTGTTAGATGTCTAAAAAAATAAGTGTATAGTTTTATTCTGTTATAATTTGTTTTATAATTGATTTATAGTTATTATACCTGAAACCTGTTTCTAATTGTCCACAAAAATATTTTTAAGAAATCTGATTCAAACTCCTAAATGGACAAGTTTAGAGTATTAAAATGTATGTGTGTACATGTGAAGGTATTTAACTGAAGAAAATAGAAGACACAAAATTTTAAGTAGAACAAGGAAAAAAAAACACTAAGTACTTTTAATATCACCTATATGTAAGCTTTGCTTTTTAAATATTACTTTGAATTTAGTGGATGATATAAAAACAAAAGATTTCTCCAGCTGTGTGTTCAAGTTAGAAATTTCATAAACAATGTGTTGTTTCTTAACAATACATAAAAAGTATAGTAGCATATAGTGGTACATATTTCTTGTATTCTTTACTTTAAAAATATAAATGTTGTTTGATAATTTTAGAGTGATAGTTATCTAATGTTTTAAGTTAGTCGAAAATGTATTTAATTGACTGCATTTTAGGATTTTTATTGTTCTTGAAATGTGAGTAAAAAGCATAAAACCTAAAGTTCTGCTTTTGGGATGCCTGTAATGTAAAAATTGTGTTATGCTGTATTATGGCCAGTCAGATCAAGACACACACACACACACACACACACACAGAGCTTATTTTATCTACTGTTCGGCAGTCATGATGTAACCATGTAAAGAGTTTGACATTGTTTGCTGATGAAAAAAAGTTTTATTATTGTGGTTGACAATTAAATATGTTTATCAGTTTCAGGAGAAGTAATTTTTCTCATTTTCATCAATGTTTATATGTAAATATAAAAAAGGAGCTGTTGTTATGGTCAAGGATATCATCCATTGTCCCAGTGTGAGTTTTATGTGTCCAAAGATAATTTTAAATTTAAATATTTGATTACTATCTAACTTTTTGTTGGATTGCTATGTATATCAGCCTTCAACCATACTGATTCCACTAGAGAAAAGTCCATTTAAAAAAGAAGAAAACTTTGCTCAGTTGCTTTGGAATTCTTTGGCTTATTTTTAAAATATTAGCCTACTCTATTAGGTGTTAAATCAGTTTTGTAATTGTAAAATTGATAAAAAAATAGATGTGCTACTATTTTTCTCAAGGTATCTAGAGCATTCAGAAACATGTAAAAAAATGAAAGAAAAGTGCAGCTATTAAAGTTTTAACTTTAACTTGGTCACAAGTGGAATCACTGTAAAAATTTTAAGGTATTTTTACTTTGACCAAGATAATTTTAAGTTAGTTAAATATACAAAATTAGGTGTACTTGTATTGTTTAAGAATAAAATTTCTAAAGTCAAAATGTTTAGTTTTGAGTACTGAGGGCCACAAATAATCATGTATGATGATTAATGCACCACACTGAAGAACCAAAAGTCCATGGTTTGCACCCTGTTGCCACAAAGTTGTGCTTCAAACTTTGAGGCCACAGATGCTTTATAAGAGTGATTGTCAAATCCCATTATTTGATTAGAGTGATTAGAGTAGCCCAAGAGTTGATGATGGGTACTTTTAATTGGCTGCCTCCCATCTAGTCTGTTTGTTCAAAATTAGGGTTGGCTAGTGCAGCTAGCCCTTGTGTAGCTTCACATGGATATCTCAAACTGTAATTGTAGTGTTTGCAAGTGCTGCAGTAGAAGTCCTTAAAACCTTTGGATTTTCATTAAGAAGAAAAAATTTGTTTGCTATATTATAACATCTATCATTTGCTTAGGTTGAATAAATAAAAATTGCTTGCAAAGTAGCAAGCAAACTTCTCTGAGGGTATAAGTCTTTATGAGAATTTTGATTAAAACTTTAACACTTCATATTGGATGAGTGTCATGCACGGTTGCATGGAAACTGAAATTAACGTGGATATTACAAGGTACCTAGTTGTTTGCAGGAAAATGGATACTTAGAGTAAATTGTAAAATTTGATTATTATCAATGTTATCTTATGAGAAAGAAATAAGTTTGAAAACATAGACGTTTTAATTAATTTGAATATATTTAGAAAATTATATCAGTTACTAAGTTCACCCAAGGCTTGTAGAGTGAGACAATTATTCTCTGTTTGTTTTCAGTAGCAACTGTGTATGATATAACTGGTAGAAGGAGAATATTAATTTTGTGTTTTTCACATAAAAAAAATCATATTTTTAATAAAATAAAATAAAGATTTGTGCATGAATATTGTTACGTATCTGCTTGTTTGTTTGTTTCCGGTAGAAATTCTTTCCGAGGATCTTCAGCAAAACAAGTCCTTTCTTGATTAAACCAGTTTATTCTTCCTCGATACAAACTTTTAGTACACACAAGTTCCACAATCAATTCGTTTCTCATCACTTTAAACTTAACAACCTTTATGATACACACTATAAATCACAGCGATTCACAATCTCAATAACTTTTCTCTCAACGAGTGCAAAACACACACTTTACAGCTCACTAGCTCGAAACTAACAGAATTATGAATTACACGGAACTGAAAGTAACTACTGCTCTTTCTTCATACATATCTGCTGGCTTTCTCTGCCAGGCTTATATACTAATGAAGAGGGCATCTCGATCACACTCGGACTTCCCCCTGAACATTTGAGAAACTCATCACACATGCTTCCAGCGCTGACACAAAGTAATTTTCATGTTAAAATTAAAAATACTTTTCCTGATCTCAGAAATCTCAGATTTCCTTTGTGTAATCCATAAAATCTCCTAAATGTATTTCAGACGGTTTTTTTTTTCAATAAAACTTTATAGCTTATGTTATTTTTTTCTACCCTATCTCAAAAAGGAATCAGTCAATTTGATCGACTCCGTAACAGCCAAAAAAAATCAAAATAAATTCAAATTACCCTATTTTTCTTTCTAGAATAACTTCAAATTATAACATGAAACTACATTCCTTTATCCTATGTAGCTCTAAATTTGTAACTACTATCTGCACCATATAAGTTGTAAATCACTCGGGGAACGTGCAGCTCACATTATGCTAATAAATTATATTGCTCATGAACTACTCATGTGTCAATCATGAAACATTTTTATTATAATATTATTATTATTTATTTTACCTTTTCTAATCTTAATATATCTAAGAGAATCTTTATTTTTACATTTTAGTTACTTTTATAATTATACATAAAGAATAAAAATGAAAAAGCAGAAATAAAATAATAAAAACCAATTTTCTTTTTTCTTTTTTTTTTGCTGTCAGGTTTCGAAGAGAGTTAACCCTAATTGTTTGTACTATAAACAGCAATGCACTTAATTTTTATTTAATTAAACAATGCACCAAAGAATATAGAACAGTAACATGTAAAAAGTAGGGGTCTGATTTTTTATCGATAG